TTTGATCCGTTGTCATAACCTTGTCCTCTTATATTATCTATATCAAGATCAAGTGATTTTAGTTCATTTTGTAACACATCAAAAATCCCTTGCCCAGTTGTATCATTCACATTTAAAAACCCTAAAAACGATTCTTCAATCTTAACAGGATCAGAAGAGATATTCACATACCTGATAATCAAAGACATTTGTTCTTGGTGGCTACTGTCTGGAGTACAATCAAGTATAACAGAAAAATATTTTGCTTGCTTTACATTTTTAATGATCTCATTTTTAATTGTAGAAGCAAGTAAAAGAACTAGTTCATTTTGAATATTATGACCAAGATAATGATGATGAATTTCATCATTTGTAATACGTCTTAAATGTTCTTGAACAATTGGATCAAAATCTGCCAACATTTCAATTAAACCCAAAAAGTTTCCATTGTTATTTTCAAATAATCTTCCATTTGTTCCACGAAATGCTAAATTATGTTTTGAAAGAAATTTTACAATTGAAATAATTCTAAACATGATATTTTTCCAATGATCTTTTTCTTTCATAAGTTGTGTATAAGTTATTTTATCTATAGTTTGATTTTTTTTAAATCTTAAACGCAAATCATACCAAGTGACCATATTTTTTATATGTTCTGCACTCATTTCATGTTCTTTAAGTCTAATACTAAGATGTATCCAATCTCCAAAACCCTCATTTGCTAATTGGCCTTTTCCAATATTTTTTTTAAATATTTTACAACAAAAACAAAATACTTTATCTAGTTCTTTTGAATAAACAAGCCAATCTCTATCACATTTTTCACCATTTGATAAAATTCTAGTATAATATATTGATGAAAATCGCCTAGAAAATATCTTTTTTACCTTTTTCAATATTCATGTCTCTCTTAGGACCATTTGCTACTAAAATATCAATCATTTTAGAATCAAGATTATCCCAATTTCTTGGATAAAAAATATTAAGTATATTAGTTTCATAAGAATTTTTTTCATTATTTTGTAAACTATCATTATTATCAATAATCTTATTATCAATAATCTTAATGTCATCATTTTCATTCATATCTACTACATTATTAGTAATATCGTCTTCATTTTGACTAAGAGTTTGTGGTTCTTTTATAACAAATTTATCTAAAGCTCCTTTTTGAGATTGAATTAATTCTTCAATTCTTTTCTTTTTTTTACGTTTTTCAAATCCAAATTCCAGAAGACATATTTAAATTTAAATACTTAATAAAATAAATAAAAAAAATTTAAGAAAAAACCTGGAAATTATAAATTCAGTTTGATTTCCCAATTTTTTCTTCCAACTATCAAACCTGAAAATAAATAACAATATTATTAGAATTTAATAATATACATAAAATCATCACATAAATAACAATTAAAATAAAAAATAGAAAATTAAAAAGTACCTTAATATTATGTTCTCTTGGCAACAAACGAAAAATGCTCTCTGATTTTTTAACTCTCTGATTTTTGAAGGACAAAATAAATGAATAGTAAATTGAGAAGAACGTACGGATGAAATGATAATGGTTTTGGATCCTCCATTTTTATAGAATAATTTGTTACCGTTAACAAATTATTTAATATTATTATTTTAAAATTTGTAATGATGTGCTTTAATAAATGTTGTTACATAGTGACGTTTCGTAATTGGTGACAATTATTTTAATAAAAAATAGATAACGGTCAAAAACTTATTTCGTCCCTATTATAATTATATTTAATATTTAATATTATATGTTATTAATAATTTTTAAATGAAATGGGGCCCCCCAAAATTTGGGGCCCTGTACGATCGCACATGTTGAACCGGTTAAGAGACGGCCCTGTATCCAAATAAAGCTCATACAGCAGTACATCATAGAGCACTAAACCAACATTTTTATGAAATGTTGGGCCTGGGTTGTTGTGTTTTTACTATTCTAGCTTCGGCCGAGGAGAGATAGGGAATTGTGCATTGCATATGGAGAGTCATTACCTATGCGTGTGATGCACCCATAGAGATGATTTGACGGTACCGGTGTTACTGTAACAGTCCACGATACCGTAGGAGGGTAGGGAGTGATTGACGGTGAGAGAGGCATGGACAATGGGCGGCTCCTGACGAGCTTCTAGAAAGGGGGTACATGGATGAATCGGAGACACCGGAATGATAGGGATCCGAGGGTTGTGTAGGTATGGGACTACATAGTCTAAGATAACTTAAATGAATTAATTGAGTTACTCATAGCAACAAGATGTATCTACCTTTTCGGTTGCCTATCTCGAGAGAACTCCAAAGTTAAGCGTACTGGCCTTGGAATAGTCTTAGGATAGGTTACCTTCTGGGAAGAACTTTCCGGGATGTGTGTGAGTGAGGACAAAACATACTAAAAGGTCCTGTGTTGGTGTGTGGGGATAGCTTTATCATTCTGTAGCGGCCTCGGGTCGTTACAAATGGTATCAAAGTCGGTTCTCTCCCAGTACGGTGTGGTTCGATGACGAACTAGGCGGAAGCTGGTGGGTCTGTGACAGCCTAGGATACCATAGGAGGACGGGGAGTGATCACCGGTGCGAGAGACATGGACAATGGGCGGCTCCTTATGAGCTTCTGGGTAGGGGGTGCAGGGATGAATCGGACGCATCGGAATGAGAGAGATCCGAGGGCTGTGTAGGAATGAGACTATACAGTCTAAGATAACTTAAAGGAATTAGTTGAGCTACTCATAGCAACAAGATGCATCTACCTTTTCGGTTGCCTATCTTGAGAGAACTCCAAAGTTAAATGTGCTAGCCTTGGAGTAGTCTTAGAATGAGTGACCTCATGCGAAGTACTTTTCGGGATGTATGTGAGTGAGGACAAAACACGCTAAAACGTCTTGTATTGGTGTGTGGGGATAGCTCTATCATTCTGTAGCGGCCTCGGATTGTTACAGTTACTGATAGACCCGATGGGTCGAGCTATGACTTGTGTAAGTCCTAGACTGGTGATACCAGATCCGTATGCTATCCTATGTGTGTGACGCACATAAAGACAATATTTGACGGTTGTTATCCGATGTCTTGTCATTCGGATTAGCTGAGATTGTTAGTGGGTAGTGATTGAGTTGTTGTGTGATTCAGATGCGTGTATACGTACACTATGTATATATTGCTTTTGCTTGGCTGTTTTCAATGAGTGAGATGTTCGGATTACCCCGAATTACTCACTACGCGTGCAGCTTAGGACGTTATTACGCAACGTTTCAATTCGAGACAGCGAGAAGGGAAGCATTTGACGGACACAGGCACCGATGATGTGAAGAGGAAGACCGAGAAGATTTAGACAAGAGTTACGCAGATTCCTGTTTTAAAGAAAGCTTGGTAGTGTCATTTTACGAGTTATATATTTCTCGATATTTACACTACCTCATTTGTATTTGTTTCCGTTGCAGATTATATATATTGAGAATATTTAAATCCTGCGTATTTTCGATAATTGTATTTATTTTTTTATTGTCCATGTGGTGTAATTCGTGATTTTTGTGGGATACGGATTTCAGACGTCACACATACACATATACATATATACATATATATATTCACACTCATACATATATATATATACACACATGATATACATACATATTTTGGTAAATTTTGGAAAAAAACAATGATCGGTGAAGATTAAGATTTTTTTTCTCGAAGACGAAGTCATGGTTTTTATTAAGTGTTGCAACAGAAATTTTCATTGTAATCCGTCGCAAAACGAAACAAATATATACCAAATGTACATATATTTATATGTATCAATGTTTATATATACATATATATATATGTTAATTGATTTTTTCAAATAATATCCAAATTTCTAATCGATATTTATTAGAATTCCGTTAGAATTTTTTTTTAACCAAATCCGTTGGAACCATTGGAAATGCGATTGGAAATTTTTAACTCTTCGATTTAATAAAATTACCGTCTCATCAATATGGTTAGACTGTCTTCCTATATTATTCTAAGATAATCACATAATAACAAGGAAAAAATGTACGAAGAGGCGAAGGTTATATAAAAACGAAAACCAAAAAAAAAAGAAAAGGTTATATAAAAACAAAGATCTTCGTGGAGTATTCCGCCGATGTGTGGCTAGAGAACAAAGCACCAGCCACAGAAATTGTTCAACGGTGAGGTCACTTTCATCCTCTGCTTGTCATGTTCCCCACTTCTTGTTTCTTTGACCTTTTTTTTTTTTCTTTTTTCTATATATTCTTATCTGTTTCTTCTTCCGCCAAACTAATTATATCTCCGGTCAAATCAAATCGCCATCTCTCTCTCTCTCTCTCTCTCTCTCTCTCCACTTCCTGCAAGCAACAGAACTCTTGCTTATCCTGTTTCACGCCAAGACTGCCACACATCTTATCGTGTTCGTCTTGGTGCGCATCATAACCAAGACATCTTATCTGGTTACCCTAAGTTGCAGGAGAATATTTAATCAATATTCTTAATGGCCCAATGATTGTAAAACCTATACCCTTCGAATAAAACCTATACCTTTGTAAATTTATCTAATTGTCACTGGAAATTTGTTTCTGATTCTATTTGAAGTGTTTGACTGTGTGGTAACTATTTTATCCTCAGACTAGTGGTCCATTCACATCCACGAGAAAAACATTTTTTTTTTGGTTTATTGAGAAAAACAATTTATTTGAAAGACTTGTCTCGTTTTCTGATAAGGAAATTGACGACCCTCTTTGGATTTTACTTGATGTAAACGGTATGTATTGTTAATGTGGTGTGCCATACGTAATTGTGTACAATTGACATTTTTTTTTGGATAATCCAGGTGTCGTAAATGGATTTCAACTACGACGTACAATTGACTTTTCAATTATGCGTCTTTGGGTAATATACCATTTAGCAAATTATATCCGGTAAGTTTTAGGGTTTTCTTTTTTCTTGTCACATTTTTTTAACATGTGAATAAATGATGCAAGTTTGTGCTGTTGTCGTATTCCCTTTTATGTTTTTTCCACTCCATCCAACACGTATGGCTGATTGAAGGCCAGCTACTGTTCAACATATATCGGCTGATGATGACCCTTGGTGAAGACGAAGGAGAAGTAACATAAACGACGTCTGCTTTCTTCTTGAGGCCAAATATTTTTCTTACCTCTGCAAGGAAACTTTCGGCGTCATCAATCGCAGTTTGCTCAAACCATGATCAGGAAACGAGACATCGAAACCACTAGAAACAGAGAGTATGTGGAAACGGATCCCACTGATCGGTACGGACGCGTAAGTAGACATCAAGAGACTCTGTCGATGCTTTTGTCCAAATACCATTTTTGGGTGTGTGGTGATGGTTTTTTTGGTGGAACAGTTTGGAGAAGTATTGGGAAGGGGAGCGATGAAAACGGTTTACAAAGCGATCGACGAAATGGTTGGGATAGAAGTTGCGTGGAGTCAAGTGAAGCTCAAGGAGGTTTTACGCTCCTCCGTTGATCTCCAGAGACTCTACTCTGAGGTTCACCTCCTTAGCACCTTGAACCACAAATCCATTATTCGTTTTTACACTTCATGGATCGACGTTCATCGCCATACTTTCAACTTCATCACCGAGTTGTTCACTTCTGGGACCCTTCGAGAGTAATATTTTATCATCCATCCTCTTCTTTTTGCTTTTCTTTTTTGTGTGTGTATGTGACCCTTCTTGAGCAGGTACAGAGCAAAGTACGCGCGTGTAGACATCCGTGCAATCAAGAACTGGTCTCGGCAGATCTTGGAAGGTCTTGTCTATCTGCACGGGCATGACCCCCCTGTAATCCACAGAGACCTCAAATGTGATAATATCTTTGTTAATGGCCATCTTGGACAAGTTAAAATTGGCGATCTTGGTCTTGCAAGAATTCTGCAGGACTCCCGATCGGCTCATAGTGTAATTGGTATGTTGCTCAACACGTTTCCCTCTTTAACCTTTAGTAACAATATGCTAAGGTTCTCCCTCTGCTTTCGTCTTCTCTGTAGGTACTCCAGAGTTCATGGCGCCGGAATTATATGAAGAAGATTATAATGAACTCGTTGATGTTTATTCTTTTGGTATGTGCGTGTTAGAGATGATCACCTCAGAGTTCCCCTATAGCGAATGCAACAACCCGGCACAAATTTACAAGAAAGTTACCTCGGTATGCATTTCCTTGTATGAGCATGCATATGAAACTATTTATTGAACCAAGCTTAAGCTTTCTACTATTTACTATTAGGGGAGATTACCGGAAGCCTTTTACAGAGTTGAAGGCATTGAGGCACAGAGATTCATTGGGAAATGCCTCGTGTCTGCCTCAAAGAGAGTATCAGCGAAAGAGCTCTTGCTTGATCCATTTCTCGCATCTGATGAGTCCTGGATGGTGTGCACGAGAAATCCTGGGGACCTAAAGCCGTTTTTGAATGAGATTGAGATGGAAACACTGAAGTTGGATGATGATTTCCAAAGGACCCACATGACCATTACTGGAAAACTGAACCCTGAAGATAAGACAATTTTTCTGAAAGTTCAAATTGCAGATGCAAATGGTAAAATGAGTCGCAGTTTTGATTATGTTGCTCATTAAGATTCAAACGTATAACTGTTCTGCTCTCCAGGTCCTGCGAGAAACGTGTACTTTCCCTATGACACTGTGAATGATACCTCAATAGACGTCGCAATGGAGATGGTAAAAGAACTTGAGATCACTGATTGGGAGCCAGTTGAAATAGCTACAATGATTGACGGAGAAATTTCTTCTATGGTGCCTGGTTGGAAGCATCCGGAAGATGATGAAACCCACGGTGAACATACCCCTGATCATCATCACCATCGCCACCCACCTTTTCACTCTTCCTCTTCCTATTCATCCTCCCATGTCTCTCTATCTGGTTTGACGACACAAGCTGTCCAAGATTGGCTAAAAGGTATGAAAAAGTACCATCGATCTTTTGCGCTCAGTGCTTCAGATATTTATACACAAAAATTGAGAAAGAAAAATGGTAAACTGCAGATGATTTTTCCGATGAGACGCTTTCTCAGGGTTCTTCCAATTCAGGATCTTATCCCAATATGAACTACATATCTGCTGATGAGGTCATCCCTGAAAAGAGAGGCAGTCCTCCTGCTATTACAAGAACTCACAACTTGACGAGGTTTTGCCCCGAAGAAAGCGCTTACTCACAGTCTGGAAATCTCAGTCACAGACACTGCAATATTCTGCCGAACCTGCATGCATCATCCAGTTCAAGAACCAGGAGAGTGGCATCCGACAATCGCAGGCTTACGAGGAACCGGTCACTGGTAGATGTGCAGAGTCAGTTACTGCACCGATCTCTAGTTGAAGAAGTGAGAAGAAGAAGATTGTTCAAGACTGTGGGTGACGTGGAAACTGTCGGGTTTCGGTCTCCTTATGAGGTTTCCAGACAAGAAGCATTGTCAAGGACTTGGAAGTCTGAGAGCAGACACTAACTCTACTTCAGGCTATATGATAATATGAGTGTATAGTGATAAAACTGTTTAGTATCTAGCGAGCCCTGAATAGTTTCTTCGGTACACAAAAATTATATATACGTGTGAATATATTGATACTTGATAGTACCTGCTGGGGATGAAGATCCTTGTGTCTTGTTTCTGTTCCACTCCCTCCATCATGAACGCCTTGATAATAACCGTCATTACACTCACTCAATTCAGCGAGAGAGATCCTCTTTTTTTTTTTTTTGGTAAATAGAAAGTCTTTAATTGCACTCTCAAAAAATATGTTACCAAAATTGAGGATGGATGGGGAATTGGGCTTTTTAAATTCCGTTTGGGAATATGTTCCAACAGGCTTATCCTTATCTTTTGTTCTTTTTGGTTTTCTCCAAGAGTCATTCTTATAGATCTTCAAATCCTAGCAGAAACGATGCAGAATGTTCAGTGGTTCAAAGAGAGAGAAGAGCGGAGATGTTTTGGAAATTACAAGATAACTAGAACAAACAAGACTCCCGGATGTCGGTATATAGACTCATTACACTTGAGATTGCAATGATGATAAGATTGTAGTTGCTTAGATTGGAATCGATTTGCGTACGATCCCTGACTAAGATCCCAAGACCCACTGGATTTAATTTGGATTCAGGAAATTTGAGTGATTTCACATCTTGTACTGGTACAATAGAGGAAGATCGTCACGAGAATACATTCCAGGCAAGAAAGGAACCTTATATCACTTGACCCTCTACGTCTGTCAAGGAAATGGGTGAAACCCAAGTATAGAAAGAGACTAAGGAAAAAGAACATGACGTATAAATGACATGAAAAGATGATCAAAAGGTATATAGTTAGGGGTGTAAAATGTGCGGGCCGGGCCGGGTTCCGGTCGGGTTCAATTCGGGCCTAGAATTTTTCGGGTCGGGTCAGCCCGCCCATTTATTTTTTGGGTCTAGGATCGATGGTCCAGAGCCCGGCCCTATAGGACTTCGGGCGGGTTCGGGCCGGGCTTCGGGTTTTTTTATCAAATAAAAATATTTTTTCTACAATAATAATAATAATGTAAAATATTAAAAAAAGCAAACATAGTATAAAAAAGACAATTATATGAAATCAATATATCATATGTAAATAAAAGATTTAAAAATATATATTTAAAAGTTTGTACGTTTTTAAAAATATAAATTGATATATATATATATAATATGATGTAATATGATTAAAAAAATAAAAATTTTCATCACTTTAAAAAGTGTTAATTGGATCCAAGATAAAATTTCGTCATTTGGTTAAAAGATACACATATAAATATAGCATCGAAGAACAAAATCTAACCTACTAGTGCGAACAAAACCAAGATAGAGTGAGAGAAAAATATAAAACAAAAAAATATAATCTTAAGTCCAATGATATAAAACAAAAAAATATAAAACAAAAAATAATATAAAAGAGTCCTGGGCTCCTCCCGTTCTGCTGAGCCAGCTACTGTGCTTGCTGCTTTTGGCCTTGATACGGACGAGACCCGACCGACCCGGCCCGACTGGCCCGCAGCCCATTTAGCTCGAGGCCCGAAAACCCGAAATTTAATGAGCCTATATTTTTTAGGCCCATATCCTTATTATTTTCGGGCGGGTTCGGGTCGGGTTTCGGGTTCTGCATCCCTATCTATAGTCAAGCGTGCATGTAGGATTTGCGCAAGCTAACGTTGTGGTCATGGCTGATGGGATCAGACGCTATGAAGAAACTCCGATTCTAAACATTAAAGCCAGGTCATACAAGATCAAATGGGCTCTTTCTATAGTTGTTGTTGCGCGCGCCCAACAGTGCCAATCAATCTTGCTAAACACATTAAAATAATTTACAAAAAAAACTGCTACTTTCAGTGACAGAGAAATCTGAAATATTCCAATAGTCAAGTTCAGTGATGAGGATGACCATGCAAGTGTTTTTCCTCCAATAAACATTGAATATTTTGCTACATAACATAACGATGATAACGTAGACGACGTCTATTTATAATGGTTTCTCGTATAATCAATTGATAGAAGAAAAAAAATAGGACTTGTATATATGGAGGTGATTAAAAATATTAAAAAATATATTTAAACAAAATATAATACGGTTTATGTCAAATAAGATATATATTTTTGGATCCAGGAATTGTGAGCGCGCATATATATATATATATATAGGTGTAGAGAGTATCATGGTTCTGAAGAGCCCAGTGGTTTAGCATTGAAGGCCCAACCCAAACCATAGAGGGAAAATAACGTCCGTAGCAAACCCTAGAGGAGATCGACTCCCGCTCGCTGGCGCTGCATCTTCAAAGGTGTCTGATCGTTCTCTTCTTTTCGTCTTTCGGGTCGAGTAGAAACGATGATGTTTTGCGATGTCCCAAGGCGTGTTTGGTTTTGCCGTTGAATCCCTTTTGTACTTCGATTCCAGTGATTGATCGCATTAGGTGTTTTTACCCATATTTCAGGTGATTTCTCCGATCACATGCCCTTCTGCAGCTGCATCAAAATACATTTTCCGATTGATCTCCCTGAGTGTATTACCCCCTCTCCAATTGATTTGTTTATGATTGTAGATATTGAAATTGACACCTTAAAATCGCAGAAATGGCGGCAGCTTTCGCTTCCAGATTCTCTCCAGGTACTTGCGAATATTTCTTGCGGGTTTCTCGTAAGGAGTATCCATTTGCCTCTTGTTTTAGCTCGTATCGTTTCTGGATCTAGAGACGCTGAGTTTATTTTCTGAATTGATATTGTTGTCTTCGGGATAATTTCGGTTTGCTGTATCTGCTGCTATCTTTAGGGTTCCTGTAGTTTCAGTAATTGATTTGCGTAGGATTGAAGTCTAGGAATGAGATTGATTGACAATTTGACATTATTGAACTATGTCGATTTCTGCTCTGCTTCACTGCGTCTGTCACAAAATGTCTGTAGATACCGTCCTCAGGCATAAGCTCAAGAAGAGACCCAAACTTGCAGTTGCTAAGCCTAAAGCTTCTAGTAAAGGGAACAAAACATCGAGTGATACTGAAACAAAACCTCGTAGGAGCAAAAACATGGCTTCGGATATGAAAACAAAGCGGGTCTTATACAGTCAAGCTGAATTAACTGAGGATAACGTTATCAGTGGAACCTCGCGTACAATATGGACTGCTTCAAAGAGAAAGCACAAAGCTTTTGGTACTAAGATTGCGAATGGAGTTTCAAAGGCAGCTTTAAGCGTGTTGAACAAGGAGGCACATCATGAAAAGCACGCTACACGAAAGCAAATGCTTGAGAGGAGAGGTGAATCAGACGAGAGAAGAGATCAAAGAAAGCGCTGTAATGTGTCGCCTCTAAAAGCTTCTAGGCAGGTAGTTTCAGAGAAGAGAACATTGGACGATGGATCAGAGAGTGGGGACGGTCAACCAAAAAAGAGAAAGCGGATACGACTAGATCCTTATGACACATCAAATAAAAGATTAGATGATAACATTGTTCTTGAAGGTCGGTCTTCTTTACTGTGAATTCTGATTACAATCTCTTTCTTGCTATCCCGACATGCTGTTCCTTTCCTTGTCAGAAAAGAAGAAAAAGAAGGTTGAGGAGGAAGGAACCGGAATGTCAAAAAACGCACAGTTTCGTGCAATACAACCGAGCCATTCTATTCTTTCCTTTGTGGAAGAAAACGTAATTCATTTGGCCAGAGCATTTATGATTTTTTTAGCTTCTATTCGTATTTTCACGTGACTTATATTTTTACGGCAGCTATTAGGTCGCAGACGCTTGGCCGAGCTAAAGAAGGTTGGGTACAACACAGAACTTTCTGCTCCATTAGATAATATTCCTCACTCTACCAGCACAGAGAGAGAGCGCATAGAAGAAAGTGTATGCTTCTATCTTCTTGTACTTTCCCTCAATGCTTACACAGTCATCCCTCCCTCCTGGTGTATAAGCTAATAGAATTTGAAATTTTGTAGGTATTTAGGAATAAATTGGCATTCATTGCGGCTGCAAAGGTTTCCTCATCATTTCCGCCTCCTGATGTCCCTGAGATTGCATTTGCGGGTACTGCTGCTAGATTGTGCTTTTGTGGAACTACATTTTCCCATATGTGATATTAACACAAAAACAATGCTTATTAGAACTCGCTGTTTTTACCAGGAAGGTCGAATGTTGGCAAATCTTCTCTGCTAAATGCTCTCACTAGACAGTGGGGTGTTGTACGGACATCTGACAAACCAGGATTAACCCAGGTACTCTATCATGTGAGGATTGTTTGCTTGTATATTTATTATCCACTACTGTTTAGTGATATACGTTTTATTTTCTACAGACTATCAATTTCTTCAATCTGGGACCAAAGATTCGTCTTGTTGATTTGCCTGGATATGGTTTTGCTTATGCAAAAGATGAAGTAAAGGAGGCCTGGGAGGAACTTGTGAGTATATTTTTACTAGTTCAATTTTGTGGGCAAAGTAATTTGATATCTAAATTATCCTTACCGTTTTGACACTATTGTAGGTGAAGGAATATGTTTCAACAAGAGCTGGTCTTAAACGTGTATGTCTCCTTGTTGACACCAAATGGGGTATGAAGCCACATGATCACGAACTTGTAACTCTGATGGAGAGGTAGTAAAATTCAATGCTGGTGGTGGTGCTGGGATCCTAGTTCTTGCAGTAGACGATTGTTTATTCAAATGTTCTTATAGCAATATCTGGATGTGCAGATCCAACACAAAGTGTCAGATAGTGTTAACCAAGACAGATATAGTTTTTCCCATGGATGTGGCACGTCGAGCAATGCAAATCGAAGAGGTACCATTTAGTTAGTGAAACTAAATAGGGTGCTCACCCTCCCTGGAATATCAGCATGCCACCCTTGTACTGACAATTATGGTCTTAAATAATACAGAACTTGAAGGCAAACAAATCGATTGTTCAGCCCGTGGTATGCATGTGATTTTCTAGCTTTTGTTTTGTTTCTGTGGTTCGGATTATAGCTGCCAAAGATGAGAGCTGAAAGGGGTTTGTGAATGAAATGATTCAGATGATGGTGAGCTCAAAATCAGGCTCTGGGATACGAAGCTTAAGAACAGTGCTGGCTAAAATCGCGAGGTTTGCCAAGGTGTAGTCTGCAGTTTAGTTAGTCACCCAGGTCAGGATTTCGCCTTTCCATTGTTGTGGTTATCATAAGCATAATCAATTTTAATTGTGAATACAACTATTTCTTCTTTTTGCATGCAGGCAAAAGACTCGAGTCTCGACCACTTCATTTGGAGACTTTTGTTTGAGGCGCTGAATCAGACACGATTGTTTCTTCTGTGTCGAAAAAGAATGTTGACTTTGGATGAGAAGTCGAGCTTGTTTTGGTTATGGGATCCGACGGAGTTAGAGTGGAGGTCGTAGAACAATACAATAATAGCCTCCACTTGTTTTCATCCTTTCGGCTTTTCTGTTCCATATTAGTCCGTGTCAGGTCAGGTTTGGGATGTTGCGCTCGGCAAATTACATCCCAATTATTATTTTGGATAAATTGGTAATGGCTCTCTGTGTTCTCTGCTCCAAGCGGATTTTGGTTTTTTTGCGTTTATAGTTGACTAATGTAAAATGTTTAACGGAACTAATATTGAAAAATAAAAATAATGGAAATGTAAAAGTTGCGTGCCCATAAATGTAATGTGTTGTCTGTCGAATTTATCACAAAAATATCATTTTTTGTAACTTGCACGAAAATAACCTATCTTCCTTTCTTTTAAATCCCGCTTTTTGTTATAAATTAAAGGGAGATTCACATATTAAATACTCAACTTTAACCAAATTTCCAAATTAAATACTTAACTATCTCACTTCCAAATTAAATACTCAACTATATTAAAATTCACAAATAAAAACTAAACTTTGCAAATTTTAACATATACCTAAAGGATAATCCAAAACAAAACCCTTTACTTTTTTTTTCATCACAATTTAAACCCTATACTTTTTTTATCCAAAAAAACCCTAAACTTTTCAAAATTTTAAAAATGATACACATTCATATACATATATTAATTATTATAAGCACAAAATCAATTACACATTTATTTTTCACAAAATTAATTGTACATTTATTTTCCACAAAATCAATTATACATTTATTTTCCACAAAATTAATTGTACATTTATTTTATATATTTATATGTATATATATGTTTTATATATGTATGGTATATGTATTTTTTTCCTAAATTTTTTATATATATAAGAAATTATTTATTATTTTTATATGAGTTAAATTGTCCAAAAAAACATGTTCTTGAAAAATAGTTTCTTATATATAAAATAATATACAAATAATAAATAGTTTCTTATATATAAAATAATATACAAATAATAAATAGTTTCTTATATATATACTGATTTTTAGGAAAAAATACATATATCTTACATATATATAAAACATATATATACATATAAATATATAAAATAAATTTACAATTAATTTTGTGGAAAATAAATGTGTAATTGATTTTGTGCTTATAATAATTAATATATGTATATTAATGTGTATCATTTTTAAAATTTTGAAAAGCTTAGGGTTTTTTTGGATAAAAAAAGTATAGGGTTTAAATTGTGATGAAAAAAAAAGTAAAGAGTTTTGTTTTGGATTATCCTTTAGGTATATGTTAAAATTTGCAAAGTTTAGTTTTTATTTGTGAATTTCAATATAGTTGAGTATTTAATTTGGAAGTGAGATAGTTAAGTATTTAATTTGGAAATTTGGTTAAAGTTCAGTATTTAATATGTGAATCTCCCTAAATTAAATTGATAGCGTTTTCGTGAAGTAAGGTAAGGATCATAATCTCACTCGGCACTTCATACTAATCTCTCAACTGTGTATTCTTGTTCTTGTCGGATTGGTATGAAATATGTCGATTTGGTTAATCGGTTCACAATCATCCAAATTGCATTCTTCGTCGGAATTGTTGGCAGTCCATCTACAAATCCATTGTTATAGAATTCCACTTCCACTCTGGAATCTCTAATGGTTGCAACTTTCTTCCAGACATTTGTCGTTCAGCCTTTACTTGCTGACATGTCAGACATATCGCAACAAAATCTGCGACGTCTTTCTTGATGTCGGGCCAAGTATACCACTGTTGTAAACCTCGATACATCTTGTTAGCTCCTGGATGAATCGCTACTCTGGACTGATGAGCTTCTTGCAAGATCTTCCGTCTCAGCTCACCGTTATCCGATACACAAAGCCGGTTATGCAATCTCAATGCATGTGAGTCATCCAACAGATACCCATTCTCGCTGTGACACCTGAATCCCATATCCCGTGAACAGGATATGCCACATGGCCGAAATCAATAAAATATAATAAAACCGAAAGTACGGGAAATTAAAAAAAATCATTTTACATAAAAATACACAGCAGAATAAATACACCACACGTTTCTTAAAACAATACATATCCAAAAGCGTAATTAAACACAACCGTCTTCAAATGGAACCTTGTTCCACAGTCCACAACACACGAAAGAAAGATAAAACGTTCGTACATGATGTCACTTTTCCCAAGTCGTCGCCATCGCAAGTGCGCTACTCGTGCTCCTCGGGATCTGAAAAATTCAACAACGGAGGGCTAAGCATAATGCTTAGTGAATGGCTCGGGTTGAGCCCGGAGAGCCCATTCTCATGGAGAACGGTGCCAACTAATCTCTCAATACAAGAATTTCCTTATTTATCCATTTAATAATTTCCCAATAATTAATTTAATTCATTATCATTGTTCCATGCATTTCTGATACCTAACCGTACTGACTCAAGTCGTCAACCGGCACCATCAGGTACCATTTCCTTTCGGTCTCATCTAGTACTGACTCAATTCGTCTACCGGTACTAGACTCCACCCTGCTTCTCTATAATAGTACTGACTCCACTTCGTCAACCGGTACTATTACAGAGACGACCATACAGATTCATCAGTACTGACTCCACTTCGTCAACCGGTACTAGCTTCACTACACATTCCCATGACGGTACTGACTCCTCTTCGTCGACCGGCACCGTTATGGAAACGTCCACACAACAACACCAGTACTGCTTCCACATCGTCAACCGATAATAGTGTTACATTTCGGTAATAGTACTGACTCCAGGTTCGTCAACCGGTACTACTACCGAAACCACCCCCACACCAGTGCTGACTCCAAGGTCGTCAACTGGCACTGGTTCCATATCCACACGTCCCCGTACTAGTACTGACTCATTCCGTCAACCGGTACTAAGTACGGGATCCATTAATCATTCAATCACATGCATCATCATAATTATTTATCCATTATTTCTATATCACTATTTCCGAGTTTTTCTCTTAGATTTATCCTTCGTATTCACTTCGGTTTGCGGTTTAATTCCTTTCCTTTTATACACTTCTACCTTTTTCACATTCGTTCAACATACTTGTTTTATCCTATTCCGTTTGATTACAAGTTAATACCGTATTCCAGTTTAATCCATTTGAACCTATAGTCGGGGTTGCAGCCAGTCCGACCGTTTTGGGATTTTTCTCTTTTTATTTTCGCCTGGACCAGTCGGTCTAGGAACAGACCGTCCGGTCTGGATGTTTTAACTGGTTAACTCTATTTTACCCCTAGACCGATCGGTCTTGGCCTAGACCGGTCGGTCTAGGTCATTTTCGGACCGATCGTTCGTTTGTGCCCTAGACCGGTCGGTCCAGTCCTATACCGATCGGTCTAGGACCAGGTGGACCGGTCGGTCCAACTCAGTTCAGCCCGTTTATTGTCTGTGTCCCAGACCGGTCGGTCCAGACCTGGACCGGTCGGTCTGGGACCTGGAGTTCGTCTTCTCCGCGAGAACTAGCCGACTTTTTCGCCATTTTTGTCCAAATCTTGATCCGATTTCAACTCTGTTTGCTACCCACTCATTATTCAACCTTCCTAACTCCTTAATTCTTGTAGAAACACTAATCTACACCATAAATCATGAGAATTGAATCTCACAAACACAACTCAAAACCACTCACCTCGGATTCAAGTGCTGTGCGTTTTTGTCCGAGCTCGTGTGCGTTCTTCAGGCCGTCTTTGGTCGTGAAACTTTCCAGGAACCTCCTAGGGATGTCCTTCTTTGATTTTCCGAACTTGTTTCGCCTCAAATCCCCCTGAATCTCTCTATTTTCCTCTGCCTTCGAAGAACAGGTTTTGGGTTGCAGAATGGTGATCTTCACCTGTTGGAGCCGGTTAAATCGACCTCTAACGCCACCATAGGAGCTAGGGAGAGGGTAGGAGGGCCAGAGGGTGTCGTCCACTGCGTCTAGGTGGCGTTCGTTCACGCGTGGGGTCGGTGTGTCGCGAGAAAATCGCGGCTGAAAATGGAAGAAAGTCAGAATTTTCGGCGACTTTTTCCCCAACTCTCAGACCGTCCGGTCTAGCTGTCGAACCGTCCGGTCTGGCTCGTGAACGTGCAGACCGATCGATCTGCACTCTAGACCGCTCGGTCTAGACCCGGTTTTTTCGTCTTTTCTTCGTTTTTTCCTGGACCGGTCGGTCTACCCCTGGACCGATCGGTCTAGACCCCTTTTTCCTTCGTTTTTCGATGGTTTCGACGCGTTTTAGCCCCACTTGTCCTCTGATTCGATATGTATGTCAATCACCTTATATTTTAGGGTTGTTTTACCCTATTTTATTCCCGAAATTTAATTAAATAGTTTACTCGGGAATCGGGATATTACACTCGCGGTCTCCTCAAACTCCTGCATATACTTCATGAGTTTAGGGTCATTGCGGTGCTTTGAAATTACACGTGTTCTCATACCTGTGAGCTGTTCATCATCTGCAACCGTCAAATGACCCACTATAGTCGACAATTCTGCTGTATTCTGTTGTGATAAGGACAATACTCTGATAACATACATTATTTTCTTTCAATTCAATGCATCGGCTGGCTACAACATTTGCTTTATCCGGATGGTAAGCAATTTTCCAAGTCATAATCGGCCATCAGTTCTAGCCATCAGTTCTAGCCATCGTCATTGTCGGAGTTTCAAATCTTTCTACGAGATAACCTATGTTAAACTTTTATGGTCGATATTGAGTTTAACATTCTCACTATAAATATAAGATCTCTAAATTTTCAAAACGTGGATTATCGTGGCTAGTTGATCTATGAATTGGATACTTCTCCTTTGACAAATTTGGGTGTGATCAGAATAAAGAATAACCGAGGGGCTATAAAATAAATACGACCGGACTTTTTGAACCTGAGCCCAATATATATCTCCAAACCCAGAAAATGATTGAATCCAAATTGCAATTCATAGCCGACGACGACGAGAAGTATCGGCGTGGTACCGTAGCATCACCGCCTTCCCCTTGTCTTCCGCGTATTTGTTCCTTCTCTGTCTCGTGATGGGCAGACCGAAGGGAGATGGTGCCCGGAGCAAGGCTCGTCCTTCGAGCAGCAGGTAGGCTCTCCTCGCGTTCCATTTCTTTGTTCTCTGTTAGGTTTAGGATCTTTCGTTCGAATTAGCCATTGCTTCGTGTGTTTTTACTGGTTATTCTTCGCGTAGCCTCGCAGCTTCTCTCTTGCCCTCTGCCTCTGCTGTAGCCCCCCGCCGTTGGATTCGGCGGCTATGTCGGTGGGTCTAGGCTCGATCCTTCTCTCCCTAACGAAGAGTCTACTTCCTTCCTGGTATGCTCGTTTCTCTCTGTTTGGTTTAAGCATGCCTTATTATGAGGCACACTTGTCGGTCATTGTTCTTTGATCGTTTTTACCCCGATTGTAGGATGTGGATAGTGAAGTGGCCCAGCACTTGAAACGCCTTTCCAGAAAGGACCCTACAACCAAGGTAGCTCGCACCTTCTATATTCATTATGCTATTACATCTCTTATCTTTGTATTTCTCCAAGGTTTTGTTTATTTCTTTATTTCTTTCAACAGATCAAGGCTCTTGCTTCATTGTCAGAACTGATGAAGCAAAAGCAGGGGAAGGAACTACTGCCTATACTCCCACAATGGGTATGTTTCGTTTCCAATATTTAAGGCAGTATCCGTACTTGTATCAAGTGTGATGGAGGAGATCAGGACATGACTAACACCAATGGAATAGACTCAACTTTGACTGTCTTTGAAGTTTTGATAGCTGTGTTTGTTACACTATGTACATGCCGTACTTTTATCAAATGTGATGGAGTGGACATGACAACACCAACGGGATAGACTCAACTTAGACTGTCTTTGAAGTTTTGATAGCTGTGTTTGTTACACTATGTACATGCCGTACTTCTGTCAAGTGTGGTGGAGGAGATCAGGACATGATTAACCCTAATGGAATAAACTCAACTTAGACTGAATTTGAAGTTTTGATTGTTGTGTTTGTTACACTATGTACATTTGCCTTTTTACTTTGTTTGAGCGATTAACTATTCCTCATACCTTTTCAGACCTTTGAATACAAGAAGTTGATACTGGACTATAGTAGAGAAGTTCGGCGAGCTACACATGACGTTATGACTAATATTGTCACTGTTGTCAGGTTTGTAAATTAATTTTTCATTTATTGTAGCTAATGGATGTCCTTCTCCTGTTAGGTATCCGATTTGTGTTTTTAAGCATGGAGTTGTTGTAGTCTTCTTGATTCATTTGTTTTGTGCTGCTGTAAACATTTGAAACATTTATGTTCAGCGTATCATGCTGAACTAATTTATTGCTCTTCTCTTAGAAAGTGAATACCGTGTTTTCCTCCATTTTCCCCCTTGTATAATATTGTCTTCTGCATTAATGTTTTACATGTTATTTAGGCGAGATTTGGCACCTCATCTGAAGTCTATTATGGGACCCTGGTGGTTCTCTCAGTTTGATTTGGCTTCTGAAGTTTCTCAAGCTGCAAAATCGTCGTTTCAGGTTGGTGTTCCTTTTTCATTTTATTGTTCATCTACAAATTTTAGATGTCATATATCCTTTCGTAATGTACATGCCTGTGGTCTTACCAGATCATCGAACATATACTTATGGCGATCAGGCATTTGATTTTAACATTTAGTTTCAGATTTTCATTTGGCTTTTATTTTTGAAAGAACAGGCAGCATTCCCTGCCCAGGAAAAGAGATTGGACGCATTGAATCTATGTGCGGCAGACATTTTTGCTTATCTGGAGGAAAACCTAAAACTTACCCCACAAAATCTATCTGATAAAGTACTTGCACCAGATGAATTAGAGGAAATGTACCACCAGGTAATTCATCTGGTTGGCAGTTAATAATATTTTGGAATTTTTGGTTTTCCTTGTCTTCTTACTGTGTCGTTTTCAGGTGACATCTTCGTCTTTGTTGGCTTTGGCTACCCTTCTAGATGTTTTGCTCCATGAGTCAGACAGACCTGGCTTAGTGAATACAATTGCTGAATCTAAACTTGCCTCTAAAGCTATGAAGTCGGCAATTTCCTCAGCTGAGAAGTTGTTCTCTAGCCATAAATGTTTTGTGGACTTTCTAAAGTCTCAAAGCCCTAGTGTCAGGTCAGCAGCGTATTCTGTGTTGAGGAGCTTGATTAAAAATGTTCCTGAAGTTTTCAGTGAAGGGGATGTCAGAAGTCTTGCGCCCACGGTACTTGGCGTTTTCCAGGAAAATAACCCAATTTGCCACTCATCAATGTGGGAGGCTCTTTTGCTGTTTTCTAAGAATTTCCCACAGAGTTGGACATGCTTGAATGTTCAGAAATCTGTGTTAAATCCGTTCTGGCAGTTTCTTAGGAATGGATGCTTTGGATCCCAACAGATTTCCTATCCTTCATTAATTTTGTGCTTGGAAGTTATGCCTACACTATCTGTTGAGGTGGAGCATTTCTTTGTGGAATTTTTCGACAACCTATTGGCTGGAAGGAACATGTTTGGTTCGTCAAGCACAGATCATGTAGCACTTTTTTGTGCTATCAAGGAGTGTTTCCTCTGGGGATTACATAATGCTTCAAGGTATTGTGATGGTCCTGATTCCATTCACGACCTCAAAGTTGCTCTTGTTGATAAAGTCCTCGTGAAGCTACTATGGCAAGACTTCTTTGAACTTCCTATGGACAGAAATCCACCTATTCAGATAGAAACAACTGAAGCCCTGAGTGCGAATAGTCCAATACTTTATCTGCAAGAGCTAGGTAGATGCATTATAGAAATTCTTTCAGGTATCTACATGCTGGATCATAAGCTGCTATCAGTTTTCTGCATGTCTGTTCAAGAGAGCATCTTGAAGATGTTTCAGAAGGAAAACTTGGAGGTTAGTGATGCCTATGCGGGAAAAATGATTGATTTTCTCTTATTGTTGGAGAAATATTCAGTTCGAGAAGGTGAGAGTTGGCCATTGGATCATTTTGTTGGACCATTGTTATCCAAGACTTTCCCATGGATAAAATCACTTGTAAGTTACTATCCTATTTGTTGTTGCACTGTCATCCCATGGTACACTATTTGAGGCTTTCACTTCATTAAACGCTGTGATTATGTCTTTCTTACCAGGAATTGTTGAATGGCTTGAAGCTGTTATCAATTTCAATTTCGGTATTTGGGCCAAGAAATATAGTTCCAGAACTAATGGGTAACAAACAGTCTCCTATCCTTTCTGGTGACAATGGGTGGGATATAAGCCCTGAGAAATTTATGGAAGTTTTTAGAGAAATCTTTATCCCATGGTGTATGGATGGAAACGACTTTGATACTACAGCTAAACTAGACCTCTTACTTTCACTAATAGACGATGAATGTTTCACACAGCAGTGGAATGATGTCATCTCCTATGCTTTTAGTTCACCACATATCGGCTCCAATAACCTGGTTGCTGTGACAATGCTTTTAGAGAAGGCGAAGGATGAAATTTCAAAAAGGAAGTTTGGGAGAATAGGCTCTCAGCCAGACCATTGGCATCATGAGCTTCTAGAATCGACTGCCGTAACTTTAGTGTGTTCATCTCCTTCAAGTAAAAGATCTGCTGCCAGATTCTTGTGGTAAGTTGGCTACTATTTGTCTACCAATATCAAACTAGCTCATTTACTATCATATACTTGGTATGAATTCTATGTCCAGTCCGTTTTCACTTATTGATTTTAAGGCGATTCTCAGCCAAGTGTTGTGATGCTGTATTATTGGCATGTTTTCACTTCTTATTCGGTGTATGGTATGTGCAGTTCTCTTCTCGGTGGTTCAACCGAAAACGTTGGGATTTCTTTTATACCAAGAAACTCAATGGTCTTGATATATAGAGGAGTTCTCGAGAAGTTACTCTCTTTTATCAAGCAATATTCTTTCAATTCAATGAAAGAGACATGTTCCTCTATTATTGCTGAAGGTGGTTATTCAGTGTTCGATGCAGACAGTCCTTTAGACCTGATCAAGATGGCTGAATTTGCAGCAGAGGTGCTGGATGGTAGCTTCTTCAGTTTGAAGGCTCTAAACGAGGATGCCAGTCTGCTTGCAACTATTTTAGCTTCTGTGTTTATAATCGGCTTAGAGAATAGAATGACAACAGTGATGGTCAGTAATTCAAATGAATTGACAGAGATGATTAAGGCTCGACTTTATGTGTCTGGTTTCATCAGTGATCTTCAATCTAAGATGGATAAACAGTTCTGGGAATCCATATGCTATGAAGTTCGGAAGCGCTTGGCTAGCATTTTGATTCGGTCCATAAGGTCAGTTGTCCTACATGAGGATGAACTGTGTCCTGCTCAATTCTCATCCCTGTGTGCTTCATGGATGCTTGAGGTGTTGGAATGTCTGTCGTTGGATGAAAATGATGAAAGGAACCTCTGGGACCTGCTTCTGCTCGAGAGTGATTTATGGCCTATGTGGGTCTGCCCAAAACATTCAGCTATCATGGGCATACACGATATGCCTGTCCATTTGTGTGAATTGAGGAAGTCAAAGATTCAAAGATTTGTTTCTTTCATTAATACTCTAATCGTAAAAATGGGGATTCGCCGATTCTTCGTCAGGTACCAAGATAACAAGTCTTCCTCTCGGGCTTGGCTTGCTGCCGAAATGCTATGCACATGGGAGTGGCCTGGGGGCAGTGTTCAATCCTCTTTCCTACCCACACTTATCTCGTATTCCAAGAATGAACCATCGGATGGAGTTCTACTGAATTCAATCTTTGACATTCTACTGAATGGTGCCCTCGCGCATGAAGAGAATGACAATCAGAGTTTGACAAACACATGGATTGATTTGAGTAATGATGTTGGGGATGTCAAAGAACCATTCTTGAGGGCGCTATTGTCCTTCCTATTTACTTTGTTCAAGGAGAACATATGGGGAGGAGAAGAGGCTGCGGCCGTTTTCAAAACAATGACAGATAAACTCTTTATAGGGGAGGAGACAAGCAAGAACTGTTTAAGAATTATTCCGCTTATTATGAAAATAATTATTTTACCGTTACACTCGAGAAATAACAATTCCGATGTTCATTTTGAGGACATTCAGCAGG